AAGTTCACCGGGTGATCCTCGCTTCGCAGCCATGACATGCCCAAGATCATGTCAAATTTGGTGTCCAGAATGTCAAAGGACACCGCCTCACTTGCGTGAGGGGCAAAGTACACGGGGACGGCGTCAATGCACCGGTCGATTGACTTGTGCGTATGACCGTCTGCCAACGTGACTTGCGTAGGCTGGGACTTCCTCCGGACACGTGGGCCAAGGCCGGCGCGCACCATGAAGTGCTGGCTGATGTAGTTGCGAGATGCTCCGCAATCGATCAAGGCACTGCAGGTCGCCCCACCGATCTGAATGCGTATGTATAGCAATGGTGCGTCGATGTAGTTGTACCGTTGCGTCTTGAACTCGCGGTCAATCTTCGCGATGTACTCGTGAAGGTTGACAACCTCTACTCCGTCGTCCATCAACGGAGCTGGTACTGCAGTGTGCAAGTAGTCCCGCAGTTGTGCCATGAGCACATTGCAATGCGGTTTCGACAATCGTCCGATCGACGGAACGGGCATCCACTGGAAGTCCGTGAACGTCAATGAGTCGAGCTCATCAAGTCTTGACCATGACGTCGAATCCCCGGCGATAGATTGCGGCGAAGGTGCCGAATCGGTTGCCGATGGTGATGAAACCGTGCATGCGATGGACTGTCGCACGTGGAGCGGCTGGTCCAGCGGTGGAACCAAGTAGACAGCATAGTCCTCGTAAGAGTAACGAGAACTTGCGACATTCGCGTCCTCCCCAGATGTGCAGGAGGCTGCTAGCAAGGCGGCCGAATCTGGCGGAGTGGAAGGTGGAGTCGCCTCACCTTCCGCGGAGCTCAGTTTCCCGAGCTGAGGCGGGGTCGCACATCCTCCCCCTGATCCTGGCACAGGGAGGTCTTGTGCTTGGTGYTGTTGCACCAATAGCAGCTGTCGTAGCGGCCGCGGACTTTGTACTCCGCCTCGGTCAAGCCAAACTTGACCCATGGAACTTGTACTGACTGTCCATTTCCGGCCTGCGATGCGGATTTCACCTTCCCATTGTTGCGGGACTTGTTGTTGCTTCGCGGCTGGACAGCAGCCACCTGATCTCCGTCACTTGATGCTGGAGTGGCTGTTGGGTTATCTCCACTGTCTTGCCAGACTGCAGCGAAGTGCTGCTGTCGCGGACCAGTTCGTGCCTTCTCCACATAGGTCGGCTGCCATGTTGATTTCTCGTGTGCAACCGACCTGTTGGTCTTGATGATCTCTCTCGCCTTGTTGCTGATCTCTGTGAAAGTGTGGTACTGCTCACGATCACCAAGTGCGAGGCTCAGAGCGGCGCATGACCTGTTGTAGAACTCACGGCGCAGATGCGGAAATGGCAGGACCAGATCGGGCGTGGCCACGATCTTCTGCCAATCCGTGAGCCAGTCACGTGTCAGTGTGCCCCCTTGAGCCATCGCGAAGATGCGGTTGATGGCGAGCGCAGGCGCGTCATCCACTATGAACTGCTTCTTCCATTCCTTTGTCATATCCGCCCAGGAGACCTTCTTGTGTAGGTCTGAAACCTGGACGCCGTGGATGGTTGCCATGTGGCTGAGCCAGAGCTGACATCCTCCCTTGGTGTTGATGAACAGAGCACTGATGAACACATGGTCAGGGACCTCGTGGATCCCAGATGGTGTGTGTAGTCATCAAATTTCTCGATCCGGAACGTCGGCATCTTGATGGCCTTGTCGAGTTGTTGTTGTGGCTGTGGTCGGTCTGCTGTTGCTGACTGATCTTAGTGTCCAGCAACTTGAACCGCTGGCTGATGGTGGCCGGCTCTGTGAAGGCACTTACGTCTCCTAGCATTGCCACTACGTGGTCAATGCGTTCCTCCAGTTGGCGGCTAGAGGATGCACTGCTGGAAGCCCCAGCAGYTGGTCCTGGTACAGCCTGTTCCAGGTCCAGTACACGGGCGTCCAGTGCCCGTGTGGCATCCTCATGCTGAGTCTTATGGTTCCACACAGCCCACTGAAGGTTTGCCAACTCGGACTGCAGGTGGTTACATGTGTAAACCAGCCTGGTCACGAGCTTGGCCATGAACTCCTTATGCTTCTCTTTTGGTGTTGGTTCGTCGCCGTTCGGTTCAAAGTGCCAGAACTTTAGTCTGTCGATGCTGTTGGCTTCATGCCGCAGCAGCAGATCCTGGGCTTCCTTGCGGCGAGCCTGGGTATCTGCGTCTGCTTCGGCCTGTAGCCGCAGCTTCTCTGCTGTTGCCGCTTCTTCAGCCTGTAGCTGGGCAGCCTTGACTGCCAGCTGGCGTTGTTCCTCAGGCTCGATTGCAGCGAGCTGAGCCTGGAAGCGCTTTTTGTAGTCGGCAATGGACTCATTGGCCAGTTGGCCTGACATGCCCAGAGCTGCGCCCGTCATGGTGGCGGGGCACTGCTGACGTGGCACTGTGTCTGACGTGGCACTGCTGACGTGGCACTGTGTTTGACGTACACTGCTGACGTGGCACTGTTGACGTGGCACTGTGTCTGACATGGCACTGTTGACGTGTCACTGTAGCTGATGTGTCATTGTTGATGTGGCACTGTTGACGTGTTACTGTACCAACCCGGAAAATGTATGCAAAGGGTGGGTGGGAGGTAACACGCAGGTAGGAAACCAACCCAACCGGCCCTAATCAACAGATCAAATAAAATAAAAAAATAAAAGAGGACTACTTCCTTTTCTTTTCTTTTTTTTGTATATATTGTCACATCACTACAAACTAAAAGAGCGCACTTTGCGGAACAAAGAATAAAAGCAAAAAACGGGCACAGTGATAACATGCAAAAATAAAAAGAAAATGAAAAAACAAGGGCAGATTGAAACCATCAAATTTCTCATTCTTTGAACTCCACCTCCACTGTGCCTCTCACGTGCAAGGCTCGCCACGTTGATGAAGTTGAGCGCGAGCTGCCCCCATCCCCGTATGCCATAA